ACTGTCGAAACTCCTAAATGTAGCCGTCTCTTCTACTCTAATAGCTTCATGTCTCGCACCTCTCGCCTGTGGAACTCTCTTCCCTTCTCCTGTTTCCCTGAGAGTTATAATCTCCAGCTATTCAAGTGTAATGTCAATCGACATCTCCAGTTGCCTTAATCTATCTACTACCCTCATCCTTTCTTCTGTCACTCCTATCTGATCTTCCTATTTTCTGTAACCCCTTGCGTCCTAGTGGCTTCCCGCCTTGCTTGGGGTGAAATGCTTAAAAAAAAAAAAAAAAAATTTACCAAGAATTTCTAATTAGATAGCAGAATAACATGAACATATCTATCTACCTCTCTCTCCACCTTTTTCTCTGTGTGCATATATATATATATATATATATATATATATATATATAGAGAGAGAGAGAGAGAGAGAGAGAGGGAGGAGAGAAATAGATATACACACACACGCACGCACACACACACACATACACACACACACACACACACACACATATATATATATATATATATATATATATATATATATCAGTGGATAAATGCATGACAAAATGAAAAAATTATTAACATGTTTTTTGTTGGCGATCATGGCTCTCCACAATTTCCTGTCCTTTGTAGCTTATAATAAATTTTGTCTTTTTGTTATCTCTCTTAAAACTTGTTCCGCCAACTGTTTACTCAATCTCTCTAGGTAGGTTATGCGTTGTTTTCCTCTGTTCCTCTTGTCTTCAATCTGTCCTGTGAGTATCAGATTTTCCAAGCCCTTCTTCCTTATCACCTGCCATAGAAATTTCAACTGTCTCTTCCCGATGTTAAGTATAAGTGTCCTTTTGTTTCCATTTTTTTTTTCTCTAAAACTTCATCGTTAAATTTGTTAAAGCAGGATTTTGATGGCGTGTCTGCTTCAGAGCTTGACGAAGCTGATCCCGGTGAGTCTTCAAAACCCTTTAACCTAATCACACACACACACACACGCATATATATATATATATATATATATATATATATATATATATATATATATATATATATATATATATATATGCGTGTGTAAGTTTGGTAGTGCAAAAACGGTCACTATGGTACTAGTATGTGATCCAATACCCGTGCCGTTGATTTGTGCAGTAAGGTAAGCAAATGACAACGAATCAAATGGGACTATGTTTAGAACGCTAATCTCCGTGACAATTCTATAGTGAGTTCGATCCTCACTTGGGCATCCTACATACGTGACCGTGACTGTTTATTCATCCTTATCATCAGTCTAATAAGAGGGTTGATCGCTAAGCGAGGACTTGTACCTAACCGATATTTCCAGAGTTCTAATATATTTCTAAACGTTTATACAGCACATCAGTGCATTTTATAAACATTTAAACCAGCATCAGATATTTCTAACCTAACTATTGCAACATCTGTAAAATATCTAAGCAGCAATAATAAAATGGAGTAGAAATAGTTATAAAATAATAACACATCATCTTCACACTTAACGCCTGAGTCGCTAAGGAAGTTGTATCAATTCACTATTTCAGGAATACTACGTGTGTAATGGGTTTGAGTAAATCATCTTCATATAGCTTTTTAACGTAACTATTGTATCATCTATATAATAAACTAGCAGCATGGCCCGGCGTTGCCCCTGCTTGATTCAAAAATCGTACGACTCATTCAGCAATCGCTATCACTTGACTTAAAACATTTTTGCCTTCCTTGCTATTAAAAGAGTGCCCTTTGACGTGCTGATGTTGCTACATGCCTTACTTCTTGCCTATCTCACACTGCGAATTTTTTTCTAAGCTCTATACTAAACATTAAATCTGTTACGAAAAAAGAACTAAACAAAATGAACACAAAACGATCAGCTTTAAAAAAGGACTCGTAACTGGAAAAACTCAATGAAAAAAGAATGTTAACAACAAATACTTTTTCACATGGAACCCAGTTCTGCGGAATCAGAATCAACGTTGAATTTAAGTAAGCGAATGAGCCAATTGGAGTAAAGTGCCATGCAGATTTAAAATTTTCCCACTTGTGACGAATGCAGCTATCGATTTTTTGCATGCTAGCATGCTAGTTAACATTCGTGTCAGTCAGTTGTTGTCTCTCACGCTGGCCAATAGAATCTTCCTGCCTATTCGTGGCAGCCAGCTATAGGCTCTCACTCTGGGCAGTACAAAATGGCCGTAAACTACATGAAAACTGCCGTAGAAGCATGAAAAAATCGATTATTTCCACTATCGATGGGAGTTGGGAAATGCAAAGTCGGTCTTGGTCTTCCCGCTAACTTGGATCATGTGCATGTAAATTTTGGTGCAAATCCGTCGAAAATTGCGGCCGTGCATTCCTCACACACACACACACATCCTGCCTTATATATATAAATTGATTTTGTTTGTTCGAGAAGAGTTGCCTTTGATTTCTTTACATCATTCAGAATAGTTTTGCCAATGTTGTACACTTTAATTCTGTCTGATGAGCTTTTGCCATTGTTCAGTTTTTCAATAATCTCTAATTTCTGACGTAAATTCTGACGTAATTTCTGACGTAAATTTATTTTCCTTTTCTTCCAGTTGAAGTTTCTTCTGTGCGAGACATTATGGGTTGAGAAATTTCAAGTTACTAACAATTATCTGCAAAGAAAAGAAAAAAATATTAAAATGTAGCATATTCCTACATTTAATTTATCCGCCATAATCATAGAATTTTTTGCAAAACAATCATTTCACTATAAGGGAGCTCACTATAAATTGATAGAAATATGAAATGGCATTAAATGTTATATGCACTTTAATATGTTGTTGCTATATTTGTAAAAGATTTTGTTGAGAGTTGGTTAATTGGTTTTAATATGCAGAAGTGATAACTAGAAAGGATCAGTATAAACACAATGTCTATATTATTCAATAAAACA